TTTCGTCAGTGCGTTGTTGATGGTGAGTTAGAGAGGGACAAGATAAAACATGGTGCTCAGATTTTGTTTAATATTCGTGTTCTGTATACAGCAGTTTGCCTGACACAGTAAGTCACTGTTTACATGTGGTATCGGGCCAGTGAGGACAACACAGTCTGTTTACATGTGGTATCGGGCCAGTGAGGACAACACAGTCTGTTTACATGTGGTAACGGGCCAATGAGGACAACACAGTGTGTTTACATGTGGTATCGGGACAGTCAGGACAACACAAGGTGTTTACATGAGTCCTCAGGCCAGCGAGGACAACACAGTGTGTTTACATGTGGTATCAGTCCAGTGAAGACAACACGGAGTGTTCACATGTATCCAGAGAACAACACAGAATGTTTATATGTGTTTGGAGGTCAGTGAGGACAACACACAATGTTCACTTAAGTCCTCAGGCCAGTGAGGACAACACAATATTTACATATGTTCTCAGGGCAGTGAAGACAACACAGTGTCTTTAAGACAATAAAGACAACCCAGAGTGTTCACATGTGTCCTAAAAACAGTAAGGACAACACTCAGTGTTTCTTTGGTTTCTTGATATCAATTATTTACATAAATTTTACAGAATGAGCCTTCTCTCTCTCTCTCTCTCTCTCTCTCTCTCTCTCTCTCTCTCTCTCTCTCTGACGTACTGTGAGTAATAACTTTTCTTCGTATATATATATATATATATATATATATATATATATATATATATATATATATATATATATATATATATATATATATATATATATATATATATATATATACATAATTTTTTTCATTATGCACAGACATACAGGTATGTAAGTACTTTAATATAGTTGTGTACATTCACATGTGTTACAGCTGTTAATGCATGCAAATAGCCATGCACATGTGTTTTTATATCGCTTGTGCATGTTGGTATAAAATATATCTCTTATATACACATAACTCTACCACAACACATAAACAGAACTCCTCAACACCGAGAATGTAAGCTTGTATAAAACAGATATGTATATAACGCACAAGGAACCTGATTTCCAGGTTAAGATCTTCTTTGAATTGTTATTATATTCAAAGTAAGTTCTAAGGTAATCTCATGAGGGCTTTGCAGTTCTTATGAGACGAGGCCAAGCCATGGCTCCTTGTGTTTCGCTGGCTCATTTACCGCGGCTTATGAGACAATAATTCTGGTTTGTTTCCTGATTGGGATGTTGGTTCACTGAGTTGTACTGAATTTGTAAGCTAGTCACATGTCACTGGCAATGCCACGGCCTGGCTACATCTGTTGCTATATTTGATGGATTCGTGGTGGATCTGTGGTGGATGAGAGAGAAAGAATTTTGGAATATCTTGCTGAACAAAGCATGACAAGAGTCACTCTGAAGGATGGCAGAAGCCTAACCGACAAACATTAAATTTTACCTTTAACAAAAAGAAAGTGACATCGTATGACAGCAGCATCCACTTGCTGTCAGAGCCCCTCCACTGACAGACAGCAACTCCACCTGCTACTGTCAAAGTCCTTCACTGACAGCAGCTCCACCAGCTGCACCTATGGTATTTGGGCCCGGAATCTACTATAGCAAATCACCCTAAAGCCAACAATACCTCAACAAAAACCGGCTGTACGTATGATCACTCAATCCAGTACCAGACAACACACTCTCCCACACTTCAAAAATTTAAACTTGCTTAGTATATATCATTCACTAATACTACTTTACATGCTATATGTACCAGACAGTCAATTCAAATATAAACTCTGCTCTGAAACT